ATCTATCTATCTATCTATCTATCTATCTATCTATCTATCTATCTATCAAAAAGCACACTTACCACTACAGTTACCATAACTATACAACATAAAGTCCTGTCCAGTGTACTAGGACTGAGAATTTTAACATAATTAAGTCTAATGGATTTGTCATCACTAGCTAGATCATGACCTTTAAATTGTTTATAAGTATATACAATATGAAAAATTCACTCATCAAATAAGTAAAGCCAATTGGACATGAAATATAAACTAAAATGGTAGATCCCATTTTAAAAAAATCCATTACATTGCCCTTTTTCAAGGAATCAATCCTTAACATTGGGAGAAAGAGCCAAATGCAGTGAATCAAAAAGACATCTCCATTTTGATTTTTAAAGACAACCATCTAAATAATGAACAATCAGGAAATAATGCGCTGCCACTGAGACTTGAGGGAAAGGTTTTGCCAAGCATTTCAAATTAATGCTTGTATAACCACTTCCCACACAAAACGCACCTGTTATGAAGCTTATAGTAGAACTGTCACAACAGCTCAATTCTGGCTCTCCCCATGTCACCATGGTAACTCGAAAGTTGTAGTACCATGCTGGTAATAGATTGGCTATTCTCTGAAACAGGAGACAAAGACAAGAAACTATTGAGAGAGGGGGGGAAAATGATGAATACTTTGAGAATTCAGGGGCTTTTGGAGGGTTTTTTATGATTAAAAATAATCAAACTGTTTAGAGATTAATTTTGCCTTCAGGATTCACCTATTTAACTTCATAATAAGAAATGCCATGAAGAGAACAAATAGAATAGTTAATAGTATAAATAAGGAAAGAGTTACAATACACTCATGTCCCATGCCTATTGAACATTGTCTGAAAAAAATGTTTCTTTACTTTCATTTCATTTCCTTATTCCTCCACCTTGCTACTTATCTATCCTATTTGCTACTCCCAAATTTCCGGCTGTCCCTATTTCAAGTTTCTTCTTTATTTCCTTTGCTTGCTCTCTTTCTTTTTTTTTTCTTAAGACTGTTTTCTACTCTCATTCATCCTTCTTAGCTCTCTGGACTTTCATTTGTATTTTTTTACATGTTAACCTTTCTTTTTTGCCTCCCTCTAGTTCATTAGCTATCTTCTACTATTGGTTCATCATATTATTTATTTATACTATACTTTTCCTGTTATTTTTCTTTGGTTTTGTTCTTGTTGTTGTTTAGTCATTTCCAACTCTTAGAAATCCCCTTGATCATAGCACGCGAATAATGTTCGTGGGTTTTCTTGGCAAAGACACTGGAATGGTTTGTTGTTTCCTTTTCCAGCTCATTTTACAGATGAGAAAACTGAGGAGAACAGGGATAAACATCTTGCCCTGGATCACACAGCTAGTAAGTGTCTGAGGCTGGATTTTAACTTACGTCTTCCTGACTCCAGGCCCAGCACTCTATCCATTAAGCCACCTAGTTACTTCCTGTAGAAGTCCTGGGTTCAGTTTCCTAGTTGAGTCTATACTAATCTGCTTTAAATGTCACCCTGACCAAGAGAATTATTGATCTATGCCTGGTCAATCTACTGCTAATGAACCTTTCCATAAGAAGTAGCTAGGTTAGTCCTTGAGACCAAATAAAATTCAGTAGGGCTGCCAGAGCTTAGACTTCATTGACATAGCCTTTGGGATTTAAGGGTCATCTTCATACCAGGATGAGGCAGCAGAGAAAAACTTATGCAAGTCTGTGTTTAGCAGAAGAAATATTCCAAAGTCTTCTCTGCCACATTCTTTCTAAGACCAATGATTTCCATAGAGCCTTTCCCAAGGAAAACTTATATGTTTGTGAAAGAGTCAGTAGCACAAGAATTGGTTCTGTGACAATGATGGTAACAATTCACATTATATACTCATTGAAGTTTTGCATAGGACTTTCCACTCTGGTCCTTTAATTGCTTTCAGACAATTTTCAAGTCAAACGGTATTACTGTTTTGTTCACAAATTCTGAGTACCACTTTAACCATCAGTTTCTCACTCAGGTTATGTTTAAGTGCCAGGCACTTAGACCACCTAGACAATGTCACGGTTACATTGCTGAACTGAAGACAGAAACCCAGAAGAAAAGCATAAACATCCTGCAATCATACATTTTACTAATAACTTGGAAGGCAACCTGAATTTTTTCATCTTTTCCGATACCAGGGAAGAAATGATAGTGGTATGCGATCCCAGACCTCGTGCCTTGAGACTTTGTCCAGCCCCCCTTTTTAGAGTCCAATTCTAGCAGACAATAGTGATAAAGAATGTTGACTATTCCCTGAATGACTCAAATAAATCTCTTATGTCTTCCTCCAAAAGAGAATAGTAAGTACTGTACAGTTTTACCTTACTTTAAACAGCCCAATATATGAAAATGTGTGTTGATACTTAAGATAATTTAGGGGTGCATGTTAGCCTTACAAAAAACAGAACTTTGATTAGTAAAAAAAAATCACAATAACAAACTACTTCAGTGAACTTATAATTTAATTTACAGATTTTTAAAGAACACATTAACTGTGTAAAATGAGACCCATACATACACACACACACATATATATACACATATATATGTAAATATATCTCTATACAGACATATATAAGCCTCAGACATGCACACATATATAATAGCTAGAATTTATTTATATAGCACTGTAAGATGTGCAAAGCCCTTTATGATATTATCTTATTTGATTCTCATGACAACTCTGGGAGGTAGGTGCTATCATTATCCCCATTTTACTGATGAGGAAACTGAGGCAGATAGAGGTTAAGTGATTTACCCAACATCATAGAGCTAATAGGTGTCTGAGGCTGGATTTAAACTTTGGTTTTGCTGACTTCAAGTCCAGTATTCTATGCACTGGATCAATTAAAAGCCTTATTATTATGTATACGTGGACACACACATATATACACATGTACATGCAAGCGAAGTACATGGCAGGGTAGATGTGCACTAAGTGTTTGTTAGATAAATGAATACATCAAAGAATCAAAATATGAGACACAGTGATAGTTTGTAAAGGGGCTATTACCACAGAAGCAGTTAAGGAGACAGTTGCGGCTATTTCATAGTAGGTTGTCCACTCTGATATCATTGTTGCAGGATTGAAATAAAACATTTCTACCACATACTTCCTGAACGCCCCTAAGTAAGGCCTGGTCCAGCTCAGAACAACAGCAGTCGGACCCAGAGGGTAGAGCATTAAATCCTTGATTCCAGTGGGAACTAAGGGTCAAAAGAGAGAGGGGGCGGGGAAAGGAAAAGACAAAACCCCAAGTGTATTAATATCCTCAGAATTTTGCTTCAAAGTCCTATGTACTTGATAACTGATATTTTCCAAAAACAGTTATATATTTTAACTTCTTTCCTTAGAGTCATAACTGAGCTTAACTTAATGTGAATAATGTGATCTATATATATGCAAACTTCAGTGAACTAGCATGCCTCTTCCATGGTAATGTTATATTTGTGTAAATCAGAGCACCTCCAACTAGAATTTTGATCTAACAGAGAAAAATCAGTAGGGATTTTAAAGGTGCACCCTAAACATTACCAATAGCAAATGTAACAGGATCCGAAGGTGGTCCAATCAAAGGGCCTTTTCTTAGGTAAATCACAACCTGGTACTGGGCACCGGGAACCAGATTTTCAATGATGCTTTTGCTTGAGTTAACCTAAAAAAAAAATCCATTCAGAAGAATTTTAAACTAGTCACACCATATATGAAATAGAAGTATCTACAGTATCCAGAAAGTCTATGATGAATTACTGATACCTATAGAATTCAGTGCCCTGTAGCCGAGTTTTCAGAAATGAAATGATTCATAGTCCATAAGAGTAATCTGCAGGAAAGTAGCAGCATTTAAATTATGGGACAGCATATAAACACTTGTGTTGCTGTTAAAACTTCTAATGTCAACCACAGCTGTATGCTAGAGACACATCAACTGTAACAATAATCAAATCTGTTAAGACCATAAGGATAATCAAACATCTTAAATTGAAGCGTCATAAGGAGATCACTATGGCAACCTAAAGATCAGTGTCTGGATTACTATAGCTTCTCTTCCTTTAGAGGCATGGAATTATAGAACTGTAAGGGACCTTGGAGTTTAGTCTAACCTACTCATTTTGTAGTTGAGAAAAGAGACCCATAGGGCAAAATGATTTGCCTAAAGTCACAATTAATTAATAGCAGATCTAGGACTAGAACACAGACCTCTTGACTCCTAGTCTAGTCAACTTTTCAATATAACATGTTGCCTCTTTAAAAAAAAAATTCAATATCTATATATAGCAATCTCGTGTTCAGAAGATCATCTTTCCTCTGGCCCTTATCTTTAATGTTCTTTTAAAAATAAATTTTAAAATGATAAATAAACTAACTAAATTAATTAAATAAATATAAATATATAAAATATAAATTAAAAATAAACAAATAAAATAAATAAATTTTAAAATGATAATAAATGGTCTGAAGCTAAAAGTTCTGAGGGTTATTTAGAAGAGCAAATTTGTACTGAGAGCTGATTATTTTTGACTCTTGCTTCTCCTCAGCTCTCCCGTCCTGTCTAATCCTACTACCACTACCAATTTAAGCCAGTTCAATCAATCCAACAAGTATTTATTAACTGTTCACTATATACAAGGAATTAGACTAAACAAAAAATAGTACCTGTTGTCAAGGAATTTATATTTTATTGACAGGAGATATGCCATGTAAACTAATATTTAAGGCTTGATAATTTGAGGTATTGTACAAACTTTCATTACAAATCATATGAACATATGAATAACTATAATAACTTTCTACCATATCTTCCTCCCTCCATCTTCTTCCCTTTCCAATCTGTTCTTCATACAGAATAGTACAGTAACAGAATAATCATTCTATGCATAGATTTGGTTGTATTACAACCAAATCTGCTCAAAAGTCTTTAGTGGCTCTCTATTTCTTTCCAAATAAAATTTAGATTTCATCTTCTGGCATTCAAAGCCTTCCTCAATATGGTACTATCTTACATTTCTAGCTTTATCTCATATTCCTACCCTCTGCTTTGTACACCAATCATATTAATAGTTAACATTTACATAGCGATTTTTATGTGCTACGTACTTTTTAGATACTTTGCAAATATTATCTTATTTGATCCTCACAACAACCTAGAGAAGCAAGTGCTACTATTATCCTTACTTTATAGATGAGGAAACTGAGGTAAACACAGTTCAAATGATTTGCCCAGAGTCACACAGCTAGGAAATATCTGAGGCTAGATTTAAACTTAGGTTTTCCTGACTGCAGGCCCAGCACTCCATCCACTGCACCACCTAGCTTACTACTTTGGTGACATGCCCTATTACTTTTTCCCTCTTCATGCTTTATTTGTCATGTTGCTGATGCTTTCTTTTCTCCCCCTTAAAATCCTACCCACTCTAACACTGGTAATTTGATCACATAACTCCTTCCATTTAACTCTAAAGATTAATATGATTTGTCTGGAGATTCTATCATTTGATTCAGTGAGGCAAACCCTGTATGTAAGGGAAGTCGACCCACTGAGTCGACATATCCTTCCCATCTGCCTGCTCTGGTGCAGCCTTTTGCAGGGATCCTCATGTTCCTACATGCTTCTCTCATATCAATGTATGCTATCAATGAAGAAATCAGCAGTCACTTATTAGATGCTTACTACATATATGTATAGGTAGCAGGAATGCGAAGGGAAAAAGTAAAAGGTCTCAACTCTCAAGGGACTTATGTTCTATCAGGTGAGATAAATATTTAAGTATAGAAAAAATATACACTGGCTGGTACAAACAGGTGAGGGTGGGGATCAGCGAAGACCTCATGTAGAAGTTGGTCATTGAACTGGGCTTTGAAGGAAACTAGGGATTCCAAGAGGCAGAGTATGTGTTTCAGGCATGAGGGAGAATTGCTGCAAAGGCACAGAAGTGAGAGCTGGACTATTGTATGTCAATAACATCTAGCAGCCCAGGTGGGTTGGATCATAGAGTACAGGAAAGGGAATGATGTAGAAAGGCTGGAAAAATGAGTTGTGCTGTAAAGGTCTTTAAGTTGCAAATAGAGTAGTTTGTATTTGATCTGAAAGATAATAGGGAGCTACCGTAACTTACTAAGCAAGGAGAGTGACATGATCAGATCTCTGCATGAGGAAAATCACCCAGCGGCAATGTGCTAGAGGACTAGGGAGGGGAGGCGCTTGAAGAAGGGATACCTATTAGGAGGTTATTGCAGTTGTCCAGAGCAGTGCTGAAGGCCTACACCAACAGGGTGGCCGTGGCAACAGAGAGAAAGAGGTGCATGTTGTAGAGACAGAATCAACAAGTGTTGACAACCGATTGACATGGTATTGTGGAAACAGCACTGGATCCGGCGTCAGACGACTTGGTTCAAATCCCAGCTCTGATGAGGATCCGCGTGACCGGGGACAAATCATTTAGGAATTGGACTTAGGGGCCCTCTGATAACCCTTCCAGATCTGGAGCTATGATTCCATTATTAGAAATGCAGGGTGAGTGAGAATGAGGAGCTGAGGATGCCTCCATGGTTGCAAATGTCAACGACTGTGATTCTGGTTCTGTTGGAAGCTTTCATCAAACCAAAAAAGAGTCAATCAGTTGAACCTTTCTCATTATTAGGCCTTTGCTTATTTGGGCTTTAGTTTCCTCATCTCTCATTGATGATTCCATGGAGAAAATGGAAAAGGCATATTTGTTCCATCGGCTGATTAATTAATTCAACAAGCAATTTTTAGGCTCTAACTTTATTCTTTCTGAAGAGCTTTGCCCCAGAACACCATAATATCTTCCTTGTTCCCATTGTCCTCTACGAGGATCTTTCCTTGCCCCTAAGGCCCCACTGTGTTTTGTAACTCAATGGATTCATCTTGTGATGTTATTGTTGTTTAGGTGTTTTTCAGTTTTGCCTGACTCTTCATGACCCCTTTTGGAGTTTTCTTGGCAAAGATACTGGAGTGGTTTGCCATTTCCTTTTCCATTTCATTTTACAGATGGAATTGAGGCAAACAGGATTAAGTGACTTGCCCAGGGTCACACAGCTAATAAGTGTCTAAGGCCAAATTCGAACTCCAGAAGATAAGTCTTCCTGACTTCAGGCCCCTTAACTCACTCTGCTGGGACTCTTAAGGCAAAAGAATATAGCAAAGGAAGGTCTTGAGCAAAGATGGCTCTATATCTCAGGGTCAGCAACAATTATATTCTTGATAACACCCTATTCTCTTGGTTGGGTCTATGAGGCACTCCTTCTAACTCCACCGAGGAATCCTGGCATTAGATTCTTTAACAGTAACAACAACAATAATAATATCTAACATTTATAGCGCTTTAAGTTTGTAAAGCACTTTGCAAATATTCTCTCGTTTTTGTCCCCACAAGAACCCTAAGTAGATTTTTACCCCCCATTTACCACTGAGGAAACTGAAGGCAGAAGAGGTTAAAAGAAAAGCAGTTAGTATGTGTCTGAGGCAAGATTTGATCTCGGGTCTTCCTGACTCAAAGTCTAGCATGAGATGGCAGATTCTGTGTTATATTTGTCCTTGCATTCCCCCAGCATCTAGCCCCCTACCTTTCACAGAGTACCCTTAATAAGAGCAGTCCTTGAATTGAATTGAATTGACATACAAAACAAGTCTCCTCAGTGGAAAGAACAATTTTTAAACATGTAAACAAAAATTTAAAAACTACAATAGTGCCAGCCAAAACGACTTCTAGATTCTTGTAACACTATTCTGAACCCATGAGGAATTCATGAGGCAGACTCAGAGAGTTACTCTATCACCTTAGATTTTTGAAATTTGTTTTAGTCCTTGCTTCCTGGGGTTATAGCCAGGTGGGTTTACATATTAGAATTCTTTTTTTCTTTTACCTGAGTACAATAATGTTTTTCAAGTCTTTGACTTTCCTTTTGTTTCTGGCAGGTTAGAGATACAACAGACACAATCGTGTTATTGCTGTCACTCTCTTGAGAAGATGTCCAAGACAATAAGGCAGTGGTTGAGCTTAAAACATTCACGCGGACATGCTGAGGCTTCTCTGTTAATTCTTCAATCCATTCTCCCATAGGACCTGCAAATACAAATGGGAGGAGGAAGCATGCTGAGTGGTTCACATCAGGAGAGATGAAAGCACATTAATGAGGTTTTTTTTTTCTATCTTATTTTCTTTCTTCCTTTCAAAGGTTATTTCAGAGAGGTGAAATGAACTAGAGGGAGAGTCCTTTGGACTGACATTATCCATACTACTCAACATTATACCTTCAACACCTGACCTCCGGCAATTTTTTCTTCAATGGAAAATGTGAGCTTCATTTCCACTGTTTTATTGGGTCCTTGAACTTTTTCTCTAACTAAAAAGATGATGATTATTTGCATCTGTATTAATTTCTCTGTTAACCAGATAGCAGGCACTTAAGTAATTTCATCAATGCTTAGAGCACCTTTGCCCTCAGGGTCTCCTGCAGATAGAAATCTGATTAACTTGAGATATATTCCAATTAGCTTCCATCTCAGAAGTACAAGAGAAGTGAGGAATTTGGGGATAAATAAGGCAAACTGTGAATCTGTTTGATTTGAGGTGACCCAAAGGGCGACAGCGGGGACAGCCCCTACAATGGGAACTGCCTGAATGGCATGTGGTCTGGAATTTCTCACTACCCCCAAACTCTTTCTTCCTCTGTGCCTTCTGGCTTCCCTGATTTTAAGACTCAGTTTAAATCTCAACTTCTGCTCCACAAGAAGCTTTTCCTGTTCCTAATTCTTAGTTCCTTCTCTCTGAGATTATCTCTAATTTGCCCTGTGTGTCACTTATTTGTTCATAGCAGTCTGCTTGTCTCTCCTATTGGACTGTGCTCCTTGAGAGCAGGTTCTGTTTTTTTGTTTGTTTTGGGTTTTTTTGCCTTTCTTTGGACCCCAACACAGTGCTTGGCACATAGTAAATGCTTAATAAATGCTTGTTGACTTTATTTAAATTGCCCCTGAGCCTGGGATTTCACCATTAGCATCATTCTCTTGGATTAGACATTGTTTTGAGAAATCCACTGATAAAATAGAGCTGTGTTTTGTTCTTGTTTTTGTTTTTTACAATTCCTAAGCATGTAACCACTCTGTACTAACATCTGTGGGACAGATAAGAAAAGTAGGCTATATGGCACTTGCCTTTAATGGGTTCACAATTTGGTTGAAGAGGCAAGACTTAGATACATAAAATAATTAGAGAAAAATAGAAGTCAGTGACACATTGCATGCAATGTGCAAGGTGCAATAAGAATTCAGAGAAGGAGAACATTAATTTGACTGGAGAAGTCAGAGAAGAGCTCAAAGAGGAGATGCCACTTGAGCTGAGTGTCTGGTCACACTACAATCCTCAGCTGCAAGGGGATGACATTACTGTGCTTGGAAAGGGATGCAAACCATCCTAAATGTCTTCACTTAAAACAAACCTTAGAAAACTGTGCAGAAATGTTTATTACATACACACATAAATAGCAATTTTATCAAGTCTGACAATGAAGACTTGGAAGACTTAGGCCTCCAAGAAACCTAGAGAATCATTCATTATTTGTTTGGGTTTTTTTTTTTGCAAAATAAAAAAAATCTATAAATTTCTTTCAGCAGATATTTGAGTGATATTTACACATCTAGAAAGTGACTGAATTGTTCTTCATCTCCTTTGACTTTCTCTATATAGATCAAAACTCCATGGGGGCAGCTAGGTGGTGCAGTGGGTAGAGCACCAGTCCTGAAGTCAGGAGGACCTGAGTTCAAATCCACTTGATACTTACTAACTGTGTGACCCTGGGCAAGTCATTTAACCCCAATTGCCTTAAAAAAAAAAACCACTCCATGAATGGCTTTCTAAACAAGCAAAGTAAATGACCTTGAACTTCTAAACATCCTGCAGGTTTGGCTAAAATGTTGTTTTTAAATACAGCGTTTTATGGTAATCTAGAGGGATCACTTTACTCTCTTTGAATCTCCTTTGGAAAATAAACCTTCCTTGGACTGATAAGTAGATTGGATGAACATTTTTGTTTGGGGTTAGTGGGAAATTCCAGTTCCCTTTAAATGACCACACACCATTCAGGCAGTTCCCATTGTAGGGATTGTCCCCACTGTCGCCCTTTGGGTCACCTCAAATCAAACAGATTCACAGTTTGCCTTATTTATCCCCAAATTCCTCACTTCTCTTGTACTTCTGAGATGGAAGCTAATTGGAATATATCTCAAGTCAATCAGATTTCTATCTGCAGGAGACCCCGAGCGCAAAGGTGCTCTAAGCATATTTTCTCTTACATCAGAAACTCATTGTAAATCCTGTTTAAAGGTATCTTCCAATTTCTCTGTAGTTATCTTGTATGTTGTTTCCCTCATTAGAAGGCAAATTCCTTTAATGCAGGGATTTTTGCTTGTATCCCCAGTGTTTATCCTAGTGTCTTGAACATAATAAGCACTTGATAAGCGCTGGTTGTTGTTATAAAAGTTTTGCATAAATTCAAGGGAGTCCATAGTGAAGAGTCAGTTTAACAAACAAGACAATAGGGATGGAGACTGGGCCAGTGATTTCACGGGTCCTGAAAACTCCCAGATAAGAAAATTTGCTCTCCCAATGAAGGTCAGCAATTTGTAGTCCTTATGAGCTGCCTAGGATAGTAATGTCAAAATCAAATAGAATGTGGGTTTTGGGGAGGGTGCCAATAACGGATACATAAGGATCCCTTGGGATAGCTAGGTGACACAGTGGATAGAGCATCTGCCTTGGAATCAGGAGGACCTGAGTTCAAATTTGACCTCAGACACTTGACACTTAACTAGCTGTGAACCTGGGCAAGTCACTTAACCCTGATTGCCTCCCATACATAAATGAATGAATAAGGATCCCTACAGGCTGCATATTGATTTAGTCTCAGTAATGTTATCTATGTTTTATTGTATTTTTATTTTGTTAAGTATTTCCCAATTATGTTTTAATTTAGTTCCAGATGTGCTTGGGAATGTTGAGGCTCAGTGTTTGGCACCTCTGGCCTAGAGCACTGAAAAGTCAATTGACTTACCCAGGGTCACTCTGTTAAAGGTGGTTGAATCTGGGTCATTCTTGCTGTGAGGCCAGCTCTCTATCTACTGAACCAAGCTGCCTCTCAGTAATAAATGCTAGCATGTATAGAGTGCTTTAAGGTTTGCAAAGCACTCTATATATGTTATCTCATTTGATCCTCATTACAGGCAACTATGTGGTGCTGTAAATAGAGCCTGGACCTGGAGTCAGGAAGACCTGGGTTCAAATCTAGCCTCAGACACATACTAGCTGTGTGACCCTGGGCAACTCACTTAACCTCAGTTTCCTCAACAGTAAATTGAGGATAATAATGGCCCCTACCTCAAAAAAGTTGTTGTGAGGATCAAATGAGATCATATTTGTAAAAACCACTTAGCATAATGCTTGGCCTTTTGTAGGTGCTATATTAATGCTTATCCTCCTTTCCCCTTCCCTACAACCTCATGAGGTCGGTGCTATTACTATCATTTAATGGATGAAGAACCGAAGGCTGATAGAGATGTGCCCAGGGCCATACAGCTAGTAATTGTTTGAGGCAGGATTTGAACTCAATTTTTCCTGACTCCAATGCCAGTGCCATATTCACTACATCACCCAGCTTCCTCTACTAGATAGGTTCTTACCTGTTGAACAAGTGATGGGATCCAGCACCTCCTGACCTTGCAGACTTCACAGGGTCCCCTAAGCTCAATAAATAATCTGAAGTATTATCAATCTTTTCACTTGCAATATTATCGTTGTCTTTCATTGGTACTTACTGATGTAAAAACTAATTGATTTGGCTGATTGACTTCCCCGCGTTTCACAAGATCCAGAGGAACTGAAAGTTGTCACAGATAATTTATATTTGCCAGGCTCATTCAGTTCAGTGACAAATTCATGCGCTTCCTCATCCACTGTCAAAAATTCAGTAGAGTTTTCTAAATCATAAAAAAGGAAAATACAGACTTATTGGAATTTGAGATTAATATGGACAAATTAACTGGACAAAGGATAAGCATCAGAAGGTACAGGAACTGTGGGGCTGCTAATTAAGTTTATCTGGTCAAAATATTAGCTTTATCCATCTTCTGTACTTAGCTACCAAATTGATCGTCCTAAAGCACAGTTCTGACCTTGTTATTACTCCTCCCCCTTATTAAGAAAACCCAACAGGCTCCCTATTCCTTCTATGACAAATTAAAATCCTCAACGTGGCTTTTAAAGACTTTCACAACCAGATCTTTTCCTACCTTTCCAGTCTTATACTTTTCTCCCTTCCAAATACTCTATGATTCAGTGACACTGGCCTCCCACAGTTCCTTGCAAAAACACACCATCTCCTTAAAGCTAGTGACTTCCATCTGTTAATGAACCCCTGTATATATCTTATTTGTACTTAGTTGTTTTCATGTTGTTCCCCTATTAAACTGTGAGCTCCTTGAGAGCACAGATTATTTTTGGGTTGTTTTTTTGTTTGTTTGTTTTGCATTCCCAGAATTCAGCACAGTGCCTATGACTAATAAATACTTGTTGACTTGATTCTAAGCAAAGGCTGACATGAAGGAATAATGAAGCATAGAATTCAAATTTCATTTTTACGATATACTTAGACAAATAATATGGGGTTTTTGAACCTGTTAATCTAGAAACTGAGATTGCATATACTCCTTTTATCTTTATGGAAAACTTGTTCCAAATGGAAGGAGGTGAATGTTAAGGAAGGTCATCCACATAATCTTCAATGAGTAACAAATGAAAATTATCCAAAACAGAAGATCTTATTGCTTCTTTAAGATTCATTAAATATCCTGGAATGTCTCTGAGAATTTCTTTAGACATTTCAGGTTAGAAATAAAATATTTTCTGTCATTTGTGACAAGGACGTCAGCAGTAAAACTGAGTCTCTATTACATCAAAGTTCATCTCCAGCTGCTTACTTTCTTATTTGAAGTCATGATCTGAAGTTCATGTCACAGCTAGCCTTCAAAAAACCACATAGCAATAAGATAAAAGGCTGATTGAGTCTTCAAGGGAATAGGCAGCAAGAAAGAAAATTCTGAGCTTTCTACAAAGATCTTATTTTCAGGCAAATGTAGCCAATAGCAGAAAAAAAAACAGAAGAGAAATGAGAGAAAATCTTGTATCAGTGATAACTGGCAAAATGTTTTCATTTAGGAGTGAACCTCTGTTCTTTTAATTTGACAAATAAAACTGATAATAACCAGTTTATATAGAACTTTACTGATACCAATCATTTTCAAATGCATTCTCTCCTTTGTTATTTAAAACAATTTTATGAGGTAGGTAGAAGTGCAAGTAATATTTTCCCCATTTTATAGATGAAGAAACTGAGGCCCAAAGAAGTTAATCCAAGGTCACAAAGTTAAGAAGAGGTGGATACAGGATTCAAAAGCATGTGTTCTAACACAAGTCCAGTGCTTCTTCCATTATAATAATAGTAGTTAACATTTACATAGCATTTACTATGTGCCAGGCACTGTACCTGGACTTCACAGGACACCAGACACTTTACAATTGTCTCATTTGATCCTCACAATAACCCCTGTGATGTAGGTGCTATTATTATTCACGTTTTGCAGACAAGGAAACTGAGGCAGACAGAGGTTAAGTGACTTGTACAGTGTCACATAGCTAGCATCTGAGGATGGATCTGAACTCAGGTCTTCCTGGCTTTAGGCCAGGCACTTTATCTACCACACCACCTCATTCTCTCTACTCTATCTCAAAGGTGGTGACTGTAGTTCATAGAATCATAGGGCTGGGAAGGATCTGTGGGTCATCTAGTACAACTCCCTCATTTTATAGATGAGTAAACTGAGGTCCAGAGAGGTTAAGAGACTTGCCAAGATCACACAGGTAGTAAATGGCAGAACGAAGATTCAAATCTATATTCTCCAACTCTAAATACAGTATTCTTTCTACTGTACCATGAGTCTAGGGAGGGATGGCTTAAAAGCCAGAATGGGTGGAATATTCAGGAGATGAAGACAAAGCTTGACACACCAGAAAGTGGACATCTAGTCTTAAGAACAAGGGCAGCTAAGTGGTACAGTGGATAGAGTATTGGGCCTGAAGTCAGGAAGACTCAGCTTCCTGAGTTTAGATATGGCCTTATACACTTACTAGCTATGTGACCCTGGATAAGTCACTTCACCTTGTTTGCTTTCCTCATCTGTAAAAGGAGCTGGAGAAGGAAATGGCAAACCACTCTAGTGTCTTTGCCAAGAAAACCCTAAATGGGGTCACAAAGAGTCAGACATTAATAAAACATCTGATAAAAAAAAGTCTTAAGACCACTTGACAAGAACAAAAGAAAAGCAGTGACACGGGCATCATATAAAATTACAGAGGCAGTAAAATTAAATTAAGAAGTTTACCTATCCAAAATGTCTACTATTTATTGAACTATGTTAGATGTATAACAGTATCTTAATTTTTTGGAATTCAGTTGCCAGCCAACCTCACCTAAAAAAAGCTCAAGCAAGAGCTTAGAAGTGGCACCCTCCCAAAAAACCAGTCTCTAAATAGCCAAAATAATCATCAAAATCCATGCACTAAAGTTTATATCTATTGAGCATCTCCTATATAAATAGCACTGTGGGAATTTAAAAGATTGTTATGATGTGCTGTTTTTTTTTCAATCATGTCTGACTCTCATGACTCTATTTGGGGTTTTCTTGGCAAAGATACTGGAGTGGTTTGCCATTTCCTTCTCTAGCTCATTTTACAGGTGAGGAATTGAGGCAAACAGGGTTAAGTGACTTGCCCAGAGTCACATAGCTAGTAAGTGTTTGAGATTTGAACTCAGGAAGATGAGTCTTCCTTATTTCAGGCCCAGCACTCTATCTACTGCACCACCTAGATGCCCATGATAAGACATGCTCTCTGACTTCAAATAACTTCAAGCTTTGGCACAGAAGATAATATGTAGAAAAATATATATACAAGTACAGCCAAATCATAAGAGATTACTTGAGTAGCCTCATGAGGCAACAAAGTGATGTAGCAGATAGAGAACTAGGCTTGGAGTCAGGAGGACCTGAGTTCAAATTCATCCCCAGATACCTACAACCTGTGTGACCCTAGGTAAGTCACTTAATCTGATAGCTGCCTCAGTTTCTTCAACTACAAAATGAAGGAAATAATAGCATCTCCCTTCAAGGGTTTTTGTGAGGATCAAATGAGATAATATTTGCAAAGTACTTAGCACAGTGCTTGGCACACAGTAGGTGCTTAATAAATGCTTCTTTTCTTGCTTCCTTCCATCTGAAATCTTCAAAGGATGAGTTGAATTAAACAGACAGAGCTAGAAGGAAGGGGTGCAAGGAAGAGCAGGAATAAAGACTTAGGGACAGAAAAATGCAGAGTAGGCCAGTTTGGCTGAACTGGACCTTATGTGGAAGGGAATAATAGGCTGGAAAAGTAGGTTGAGTATTTTGAAGGAAACGTTGAATGCCAGGTTCATAATAATAGTTCTCATTTATATAATGCTGAACAGCATTTTTTTTTCACAAGTCTGTAAGATAGGTGGTACTAACATTTTCATTTTACAGAAGAGGGAATTGAGGTACAGAGAAATTAATAGACTTCTCCACAGTCACATGACTAGTAATAGGACCAGGCTTAAACCCCAGTCTTCTGACTCCAAGTCATTATAGATTCCATTATACTAAGCTGCCTGGTTCCCATGAGATGCCCTTACCCAGAGTCTATAATTTGCCTTAAAAAAATACAATTTTCTGTTGTCATTTTTGGACTGGCTCTGTCATTTCATTGGTATAGGGAATCATCAGGAAGGAAATTCCCTCAATCAATGTAGGTCAGCATGTGATCTGCACTTGGCAGCCTTAGAAGTTGTTTGAGGCACTGAGAAATTAAGTGACTAGACTAATACAATAAGTTAAAAGAATCCAATCTTCAAGGGACAGACAAGAAGAGATATTTCTGAGCTCCAAAGAACTTATTTTCAGTCAAAAATATCCAATAACAGAAAACGAAGAGACATATACATTTTTTGCTAGCCTCATGTGAATGTGACACTTCGGCCCATAGGTGTTGGATCATTTTTCTGAGGGACAGGCTACAAGCTGTGTAGACAAGAAGGAAATGTAACTCCTGATTGACTGAGACAATGCTAAACCAAGGCACCAAGAACCTGTATGAATGCAGCAGGGATTTTATTAGATGGTTAGAGGACCTTGAAACAGGTGATCATGAGAGGCAAGCTTTTGAATTGGGAGGCCTTGAGGCTGCAGGCATGTGGAGAACTGGCCTCCACTACTTTCCTTGACTTTCTGTGCTTGTAATCCTAGAGATGAACTTAGCACGGACTTCTCTTAAATAAGTTTGAGCTGACAACTTACCTCGCTCAACTGAAAAGCCCTTTTACTCTTGTGTAACCTTTGTTCTATTCTCATTTATATAACTCCCTCAATTTCTTCTTACTGTTTACTTTGATAAAGAGGTACACTAGGTATTTGTAGTGTCTTTTGTGTAACCAGTGTTTGGGATTTGGGGAAAGCTAAGCTGGTGAGAGTAAGCTAAGTCTTGATGTGATCTAGAAAATGGCATTCGCACTAGGCACCAAAAAACTGTGCCTCTAGACTACCAATATTTGAAGAGCAGTGGATGGATTTAATTCAGGCCCCATATTCCTCTTGGAGATAGGTATGAGAAGAAGCAAGCACCCAACCATGGCTCTCCTCCCAGTCCTTGCAAAGCAGAAATTGAGTACTCTCTTGGAGAGGGGTCAGCCAAATCCCAGATCAGATATCTATCCAAGTCACATGTGAGCCAAGCTGTCTTTATATATTTAGACAGCAACCATATAGATACCTTACATAATATTTGGGCATTGTTGATTATCTGGAACAGGAAAATCCACAAAAGTTGGGTTTTTTTTTCCTTTAATAAACAAAACTGGGCTAATTGCTTATTCTTTTATTAAACAAAATAGGGTCAATTGCGTATTCTTTTATTAAATAAAACAGGGTCAAATCCTCTATGATTCAGTCACACTGCCTCTTCGTTATTCCTTGCATTTTTGGCTACCTTACTCTAAGGAACTGCTCTGATGACAAAGGTGTCATTCATTCTCAATATATGACAAGTAGCTATATGTATTAACAATTCCAAGAAAACTTCTAAGAACAAATGATAGTATCAATAAGCAAGATGTTAAAAAAAGTATGCAATTCATTCCTTAAATTACTTAAATGTAACAGCATTGTTGTAATAAATAAGTGGGCTAAAATGGAAAAACTAGGTACCAGATGCTGGGGGAATGGACACAAGATAGAATTTTAGTAGCTACAGTGAAAGTACCATCTGCTGTGTCTTTCCTGCTTTACTTCACAGCTGCTCGGTGGAAAAGTGCCAACAATGGGTGGCAAGGAGGGTAACACACTTCAGAAAGAAAAGGGTAAGGAGCTGTGTATACTGAAGACATGGCACAGAACTGGTAATTATCATGAAGCTAGCCATCTTGCAAAGGGATCGGGTGCTGAGAAAGGACATAATAGGAACCTTAAATCTGGGTGCAAGAAAATAGATCTTCTGTCAAGGCCCTTCTGCCCCTTTCTTTAAATGATAAAGGTCAGGCCTTTAAGCCCAGGTCTTCCTCAGTTGTCTGATGGGGTAGAATTGTTGAGAAGTGAAGCATATGTGCAGTTTCCACTATTTATGCCAGCATGATCCAGTGGAAACAATAACTGACTTGGAGTGAGAAGACCCAGGCTGCAGAACTGACTTTAAATAGCCATGTAAAAATTGTACCATTATCATCATCGTTGTTGCTGCTGTTGTTATTATTATTAGGCAAATAGACAGAGAGCTGGTCTCCAAGTTGAGACAACCTGGGTTCAGATTCTACCTCTGACATGTTCACTGAGTGTGTGTGACTCTGGACAAGTCACTTAATCTCTCATTTAACCCAGTAAGACTTGCTGATCTGTGTTGGTGGGAAGAGTTTCCTCATTGGAAAATTCCTTATATCAATGAAATCACAGGCTAGCTGTGCCAAAATATATAAGTATGTTATTGTCTTGCTTTTATACCACCAAGGTCATATTTGTATTCTTTTTCAGGTTGATAAGACCATAAGTTTGCATTCTGCTGGCAAAGCCTTTGAAATTCCTTGGTTACCTCCATGCTCCAGTGAGGAGTCAGAGTAGGACCTGAGTGCAGTAATCCAAACCTTTACAATTTTTCTTCTTAGCCTATGTTCCTTCTCATCTGCACTGATTTCCTGAACTTAATTCTCCCCTCCCTAACTTATTTCCTTCTGAAATATCTCTGAAGAGTAACAAGGGATTATTACTTTACCTTCTCTCTCTATGCGAATATGGAACCCATCAAAGGCAGTAGGTGGTTTTGGGGGCAACCAGTTCAATATCATTTGCACAGGGAAAAAAGATAAAGGTGCTGATGTTGATTTCTCAATCAGACTAACTGTATTATTATTTTTATCTTCCCTGGGAAGTACACTGACAAATTCATCTTCACTTTCTGGCGTTACAGTTTCACTATCCCACCAATATGGCTGGAGTGTTGTTTCCTCATCACTGCTATTAAAATCTGGCCACCCAGAAGAAGTATTGGCTGAGGAAATTTCAGGAGGATCATCTGTAAAATGAAGCAGTTTCTCTTTCTCAATGACATCTTGTGGCTTCAGGAACGATTCCTCTGGGAAACTTCCACTCTCTTCTTCCCAATTATTCTTGTTCAGGTTTACAATTCGGACTGAGATGTTTTGAGGTGGGAAAGGAGCTGGAAAGACAGAAATTTCACTTAGTATATCTTGTCTCTTATTTCAGTGAAAGAAATTCCAATCAATTAATGAATTAAATGCACAAGAATTTGAGATAAATACAACACGGAGTGGTATCTTAATACACAGGTAGATCTATTATAAAGTCCAGTTGGTTTTGGGCATATTTGAACTTTAATGTTTTTAAAGATCCTGAAATTTATAATCTGGTAACCACAATAACTGCAATCTATTAACATATCATCATACTCATTCCTTTTCAGGACATTAATTTGTGATAATACTTTTGTTCAAGTGGTAATTTGACCTTTTTCTTACCAAAGTAATGTTAAAATGGACAGGTTAAAAGGAACTTGCCATGATCTTAGTTTTAATATAGATTAATTTCCTAGCTCCATGCCTTTCTTAGAGAAAGTTTACACTAAGTACTTTTTTTGGGCAACAAACTGCAGAACAGAGTTAAAATAAAGATAAAAAAGTAGGTAGATGCCTAGAGTGTAGCACCATGAGTGTTCAAGGAGGGACCTTTAAATATTACTTGTTATAAATGCATACTTCTTAATGCCAGATAATTGTTTTCTATAGGTCATGGTAATAAATCAAATACCATGTTTAGATTCAAAAGTTCGGGTGGACTAGTAACACAGGGACAGAGATTAAATTTCTAATTTGCTATAGTGTGGACAAATGCCTTTTCCCAGTTTTGTGACAACAACTATTGGTAGATATTTGACTTGGTGCTATACACCTACTTAAAATGGATTTCAAAAGATTTTGCAACTTGGTTTAATACAAAACTGACTTAGAAATTATGAGAAAAGCATACTTTTCTGGAGGCATACTGCATAAGGAAATACAAGCAAAAATGCAGATCATTATAGAAGCATAGGATGAAAGGTTTGCAAGGGATCTTAGAAACCACCTAATCCAACTCTTGAAACGATAGCCCAGAGAGGTGAATTTCCTAGTCTAAAGTCATGCAATTAGCTAGTCAAAGAGCCAGGACTATAAGCCAGGCCTCCTCATTAGATGAACTGGAGATTCTAGTACAAGGAGGTAAATTTCATTTCACAGGTATAACAGATATACGAGGAGACCCATGAGACCCATGACTGTGATCATTTTATTTCTTCAAAAAATAGAAAAACCTAAAAGGAAAGAAACTCTATTCTGGCCTGGATTGTCACCAGCAAGAAGAAGCCAGATTCTTAGGAAACCATGGGATAGGAGGAGTTATTACTTCATCCCAGAATTTGTGATTGAAAAGTAGAGAAAAGAAGGTAATAGTCTTGCAAACACCTTAGATTTGGGGGAATGCAGATTTCAAAGGGCTCATAGAGATGTCCCCTGGACTAAAATTTTACAGGGAAAGCCAGAAGGGATGGGAAAGTATCAAGAATGAAATTTTGAAAACAGAAAAACGACAATTCTGATGAGGAAGAAAAGGGAGAGTTGCCTACAGATACTGATATGGATACACAGGAAACTCACTAATTGACTTAGATTTTTAAAAATATTCTTATTTCAGGTTGAAGCAAGAGCACATAAAACAGGACAAGTATAGAAAGATTGTTAAAACTCAGAAGGAGCTGAGGCTAGTGGGAAAAAATCTATGGACAACAAAATGATTTTTTAAAAGCTACGTTGCAAAAAAGATGAGTGTGGGTCATGAGTTAGTTAGCTGAGCCAATGATAGTGAACAAAGTAAAGCTAAACTGTTCTAATTTTGCTTCTGCTTTTTCCCCCAATCAGAATGCTATTTGTATTGTAAAAGATAGAAAGATGGTACATGGGCAGTTGGTCACTAAGACAAACAAGAAGATAGATAAAAAGAGAACATCTTGCTGTCTGTGACAAGTTCAAATTACTTGGCCCAGATGAACTACATCTTCAGGTAGGGAAAGAAGCAGCAGATGTTACTGATGGTCACGGACTTGAAAGATCCAGGAGAACAAGAGAGATGTTTCAGGCTGGTAAATTGGCATTTTTTTTTTTGTAAAATGGGAAGAGTCTAAAAACTACATGAGAGTGAATATGACTGAGAATCCTGGAAAATTGCTGAATGTATCATTAAAATATTGGTCAAGACACATCTAGAAAACAAAGCAGTGATCACAAAGTCAGACTAATCCTATTTCCTTTTTTTTTTTTAAACAGGATGGTACATCAGGGGAATACTATAAGGAGAGATTACCTATATTTTAACAAAGCATTTGATAGTCATTCATGGTATTTTATGGAAAAGTTGGAGGGATGTCAGCTAGACACAGGTAGATTTCAAACTAGGTTAATGGCTGGACTCAAAATGTAGTCATTTTGGAAAGACATCTCCAATAGTTTCTCCCAGCATCTCTCCTTAGCCTCGTGCTATTTAAAACTTTTAGGAATGACTTTGGATAAAGGATGGAGTGCTCATCAAATTTGCAAATGTCAGAAAAAGGATACATAACATATGAATGCCAGTCAAGGATCAAACATATCTCAACATATAGAACATTGGGCCAAATCTGAGATAATTAAATTTAATAAGAATAAATATGAAATCTCTTATATTTAAGTTCCAAAAAATCAGCTTCGTAAGTATGCAATGGGGGCTGGGCATAGCTAGAGAGCAGTTTTTCTGAAAATGTGAATTTTTTTGTGGATTGCAAGCTCAATGTGAGTCAATAGCTTTATTTGGCAGTCAAGAAAATAGCTATCTTTGATTACATCATGGAAGATATGATCCAGAAATAGGGGAATGTTAGCCTTGTTGTACTTTGACTTGGTTATACCACACCTAGAACATTGGGTTTAGTTCTGAATCCACCTATTAGGAATGACTTTGATAAGTTGGAGAGAAAAAAAGAGAAGGAAAACCAGGATGGTGAAGGACCTCATGCTTATACTGTATAAGGATCAGTTGAAAAAACTAGTAATGTTTAACTTGGAGAAGAGAAGGCTGGGGTGGGAAGGGCATAGCGCACCTATGAAAGCTGTCTTACAGTATTTGAAAGCCTATCACTTTGAAGTTTTTTTCTGCTTGGCAAGAGTGGAAAGATCAGAAGTAAAGGGGGGAGGGGGAATTGCAAGGAGGTAATTTAATTGCTATATTAGGGAAAATGTGCTAACAATTAGAGCTATCCAAAAGAGCACCTTGGAAAATAGTGGGTTCTCCTTGGAGGACTTTATGCAAAAATGGAATAACCACTTGTTAGGCATGAGATAGAGAGGATTCCTTGTCAGGTACAGATTGGAATAAAGGGACAGTGAGGTCCCTCCCAACTTGGAAATTCTTTGATTTTGTGAACCTGTTTCTCCTAGTCCAGTGTTTATCCTCCTACATCAGACTGCTTCCCTTTTTGATGCAAACCGTGAGTTAATTACTTAGTTGAAATTACTTTGTATTGTCTATCTAGTCTATAATTGAGAAGGGAAAAGGCTGATGTACACAATAGTGAGCTAATACACAAATTTGTGACTTTGTCCGTTTACTCATTACATATATACATACATAGCTGCATTTATGAAGTATAATTAGTACTAAATTATGTTAATGCTTTAATCGTACTTTTATTCAAAGCCCAATTTTCTATCTTGAAAAAGACCTGTACTAAATAAATGCTAGGAGGATTTTTTTGCAAAACAGTGTAATGAATAGCTTGTTTTTATGCCACTTCTAAAAGAAAAGAAGTAGATACTAGTTATTCTGTTTCACAGAATTTATTTATTTTTAAATTTCCTGATAACGTCTTATCGTCTATTCCATTGTGTTCTTTATCCTTAGATACTAGTATAGTGGACATATGGTCATTTAAAGCCTCATAATTGTCATATGTTAGCTTGTCCTTGTTTAAAATTTACTTGGAATATACTACATTTCTTTATATTAATAGAAAATATTTATTAGATTATTATAGAAATATTAGCACAATAGTTCACCTGGTATTGGGACAGAATTTATATAAAACAGAAGAAGAAACACTGTGAAGAAAATGTCACATTGTGAATTCTTTATAATTTAATCATTTTGCTCACATAATTTTGTTTTTTAGAAAACTCACCTGTTCTGTGCTGTTTGGGTTCGTGACTTATACCACTGTATTCCACCAGGGTGCTTTTGTTGAATGTCGCCTCAGATACTAGCTGAAAGGTAATATTACTATAACATATCCCAGGTAGCCAATGATTAAAAACTGTTTTACCTTTAAAAAAATCTGTAGAGACAAAAATACATCAATTTCTAAATTTGGCACTCAAAGCATACTTTCTAAATTTCAGCATAAGTGAATACCATTCAGGAAGGCACGTGTAAGGGGGTTATTTAGCAAAGGAGTAGGCCCAGAAACAGATGGCCAGAAGGGTGTGTAGGGACGATAGGGTATTTCAAATCTCACTCAAAACTCCCCACCTGAAATTCCTATAAAGGCAGGAAAAAAAGAAACATAAATCTTTAGACTACAAAAATCTGAATGAACAATTAATTAGCAGGATGAACTAAATAAAGCAGCTATACAAATTTCCTTCAGGTTAAGAACTCAAGGTTTTGGGTTTTTTTTTTTAATTACTTCATATCTTAGTGACTAGCAATTATGTAGGAGTTACACATATCCAAGCCCATGTTTTAAAATTAGCCTGATGGCAGGCAGTTTACCCAAGAAAAGGAGGAAAATAGATTCTGAATTTTTAAAACTAATCTATTATTTATTATCATTGTTATTGCGCCAATATGAACAATTACTATAAAATCCATTTCAAGTGACTAGAATACGGATATGAAAGGGTATATTCTCAGCATTTAGTACAATGTCTGGCATACAGTAGGTGCTTAATAAATGCTTATTGGTTTGACTTGAATTCTACTTTGTTCAAAGGAACTGGATAGATAAATTGTGGATTTCATTATCGGTATATCCTTTTAATGTACAAGACTTTCCTATCATTCTCATTATCTACTCTGTTGCTTTTGAATAAACCATAATACCATTTCAAATACATTCTCCAGTCAAGAATACTAACCTACCAAACCTCAGTGATATCTATAAGTTCAAATTTATTTCTTTGCATTAAGATCTCCCATTGACTTTGTCTATCACCTATGTATTATGACTTTGTAGATAAATATCTGAGGCCATTTTTCTTCTAGGAGATTGTCTTCTGTGAATTACTGCTCCTCTCTACTGACATACTTTTTAGGCTGTATCTACCATTTTCAGGGTTATCTAATTAGCATTTTTCTCCTTCCCCATCTATCTTCAATTTAAAGCTCTCATGATCAAATTTTAAACCATGGTTAAGAAATCCAAATCCCATTATAAGACAACCTGTTCTTAGCCTAAATAATCCTCAACTTTTATTTTCTATTCACTTCTTCAATCTGTTCTTTGAATTGGCAGTCTCTAATGATAAGAAATTAATTTATTTCCCCCTAGAGCCTTACTCCCTGCCCAGGCATTCAGAATCCCTAGGAACACTCTTTAGGTTCTTTGAAGGGGGTGCCTTTTGTCCCCAAATGAATCACCAAAGGTGAGTAGGGGTCTATTAGATTTAAGAAGTTTTAGGAAGTTCTCCTTTATGCCCCAGGGAAGACAAAAGACCCCTCTAGTCCACATGAGATTGACAAATGGCTATCTCTATCCCTCATCAGGAAAATACCAACCTGATATTCTCTGGTCTTTTCTTCTTGTGAGCATTATTCTGTGACTTCTTTCCTGGTGGCACTTATATACACACTTATACACACACACACACACACACACACACACAGAGGCACACACACACATACAATCTCTTGACACAGTTAAGTCATTTGACTTTTTTGAACATCTTGACCAAACAACTCAAAGTCAGATCAGAAAAGTCTAGTCAAAGAAGACTCAAATTGAATTGTTTCACATACAGAGACACATATGTGAATAGAATACTGTGGTCTTAGGCATTTAAAAGATAATGCTGAAATTCAGTTATATAAATTTTATTTCTTAGTATCTGAGCAAAATATTGAAAGGAAGCAATTAGAAGCTATCTTTTCTGACATCGATTATATTGAGGTTTAGTCGATCTACTTAGAAAAGGTTTTTATGTACGCTAAACTCCTCCACTAAGAAAAAAACAGTATTTCTTCATGATAGCAATAACTTGGACATTTCATCTATTGTATATGTGACATGTACATTCAGATATTAGATAGACTGCATAACTCCCACAGGAAACTTCACTCTGATTATTTCATTGTCGTACTATGTTTAGAACATCTTTTAATTGTTTTTTTTCCTAACTACAACTCCCTACTTATGAAATAGTATTCTAATAGCATTTGAAAATCTGAGGCAAAAAACATATCTTTTTTATATTTTTTAGTCAAGCCTAAGTAACCCTGCACTATAGAATTCTCATTACATTAATGATGTAATTATGATGAAATTAATACCAAATCATGCTACTTTCAACCTGCATTTTTCTTCTTACCTTTGTATAACATTGTCCGGAAGTCTTTGCCTTCCCAATAACTTATGTTTACTCTTGTAAAAACATTGTACTTTTCTGGATAATGAATTTCAAATAGGACTCCTGTTTCAGGAGAAGGCTTATAATCATAAATAGAAACGCTGGTGACAGGAAGAGGCTCTACAAAAAGAAAATGAAAAAAAAAAAGAAAGAAAAGATGGGGTAGGGATAAAAATCGAGAGACCATGGTAAAAATACTGTAGAAGGAAATGAACTACACTTATCAAAACCATCTCCAATGTCATTATCTTTTACGAATACTGAAAACAATGACCAGGAGCCAAATTCCATTCTTAATTAGTATCACTTTATCTTTCTTTTATTTTTTGTATTTTACACTTTTTATCTTTGTATTTTTTTTTATATTTCAATTTTTATCTTCGCATTTCATTTTTTTCAAAGTGCCATTAAATCTATTTTTTTAAAGACTGGATTTCCTTATCTCTTCATCTCAAAGCTGGTTTGTACTCTTCTATGTTAATTAAAAGTGAGAGAACACTGCAAAGTAAAAATTGAATGAATTTATTTATATTAAGGTTATTCTGCAACATTTATACAAAAAATTTCAAGTAATTTTAATGAACATTAAGTGTTGGGGAATTATCTCATCATCTTTACAAACTGTCAGAGGCTAGGAATACTAATGTACTACTGGTAGAGTTGTAAATTGGTCCCACTCTTATGTGAAACAATCTATAATTGTACTTAAAAAATCACTAAAAGATGTACTCTTTGATCCAACACTCATACACCCCAAGGATGTCAAAATCAGAGGGAAAATCTTGACGTATACAAAAATATCCATAGCAGAACTTTTCATAGTAGCAAAGAACTCAAAAGTACATATCCATAAAAAACAGATGACTGAACAAATTGTTGCATATAAATATAATTAAATATTATTGGGCTGTGGAAATGATGAGTGCAAAGAATTCAGAGAAACTTGAGATGACTTCTATGTACTAAACTGATATAGGGCAAAGTAAACAAGTCAGCTAGGTGGTGCAGTGGATTAAAGCACTGGGTTTGGAATCAGGAATCAGGAGTTCAAATCCAGCTTCAGACATTTACTAGCTATGTGACCCTAGGCAAGTCATTTAACCCAATTTACCTTAGTTTTTCATCTGTAAAATGAGCTGGAGAAGGAAATGGCAAACTACTCCAGTATCTCAGCCAAGATAACTTTGCCCTTTCACAAAGGAAAAACTAGCTGAATTGCAAAAAAGACATGGTAACACAACAGGTACTAAATAAAAGTTTGTTGATTGAGTTAAATTAAATATAAGACCAAACATAAATTAATGAAGGGCAAAGAGGACTTTGATCTGGGATACTGACTCAAAGGTGGAAAGGTGTTTTTTTCCTTCAATAGCCATTATCCCTATGCTTCATCTCAAGTTTTTCTTCTGCTCTATTTCACTGTGACAGTTATTACCCCTAGGGTCCTGTCCTTCACTTCTAGACCTGCCTTCCCCCCAAGTTCTTAGAGGTTGGATCCAAAGGTTGGATCACCTCATCTTCTAGTGTGACTACATCTATGTTCAGATTGTTCTCTCTATTACCATACTCTCATCTTGGCCCCCATTTTTGCCTCGGGTGAAATAATGATTCCACATAAGATCCAAGTTAAATTTTGGTTTGGAAGATTCACTTTAATTCTGGAAGTTCTGACCTAAGATTGCATGATGAACCACAATGTCTCTTTGTGTTCCAAATCATCTAGAGGTTCAAGCTAAATTTTAAATCAGTTGTTTCCACTAGGATTTTCTTATGAGCCATGCTACTTTCATTGCAATAGTAAAGTTATTCATACATCTGATTTGAATATGCCTACATAGATCATGAAGAATATTTTCAAATTAAAATTTAGTATCATGAGCTTGATTTCAGCTCTGCCCTAACTGAAGCCAGTAGATGCCACATGTGACTTGAACTCACATAACTTCTAGCCTCAAACTCTTACCACTTTTTTGATTATTCCATAAGAACCCTTGAGCCATTTGAAGTCCCTTCATGGAACCCAATATGATTTTTAACCAAGTCTGGCTGCTGACTCTTGATCTAAAAGCACCAAAATGAATGCCAACAGCAAAGGGATGTCACAAAAGAATAAGCTTTATTTTCCCACCTTCTCTGTCACCAGGGTTCTCTCTCTCTAGAAGATAAAGGCTCCATCTCTCTTTTTGTAGCTTAGGGCGCAATAGTTTTAGATCAAAGCTACTGTCAAACATCTGAAATTTAACAAGCCCTGTAACAAGAGTTCATATATTTAATTTTCTTCTATTGTTTATGCTACTCTAATCTATTTAAATTTTTAAACTGACTTGAAATCTCCACTTGCTTGTTGGCTTTTTCTATTTCAGTCAACTTGGAATGAAATAACTCAGTTTCAAATCTTTAGACCTGTGTTGAGTCCAAATGCAAATACTACAGTACAATACTTAAAATTATAAATGAGCCTCATTAAATTTGCAGATTACATAAACCCAGGAGGGCTACCTGTCACAGCGGCTGACAGCATCAGGATCAGAAAAGATATGGGCAGGCTAAAGCATTAGACTGAATCTAATAAGGTGACATTCAATAAGAATAAATGTGAATTCTTACATTCAGTTTCAGAAAATGAACTTCACAAGTACAAGATGGAGGAAGCAGTTTGAAAAAGACAGGGGGGATTTTAATGGGCTGTGAGTTCTCTCAAGCCAACAGAGTAATATTGTAGACAAGAAAGCTAATTTGATCTTACACTGTATTAAGAATAACATAGTTTCCTGAAAATAGAAAACTATAGTTCAGTTCAGCAACATGTTGATAAATGTTTAACAACTGGCTCTCCCTCCAAAAATGTATGCATGACACACTTTTAAGTGTAACCTGCATTAGTAACATTTTCTCCATTGTTGCTCAATCACCATTAGGCATCTATGCCAAGGTGGGAAACAAAAAATATGACTGAAATTAAATCAACTTAGTAACAGTAACAAAGTTTTTGCACAATATATACTTTGCAAAGTACCTTCCCTCAGCTCCTCACAATGCTACAGGATAAGTAGGACAGGTATCATTTGATAGCTTCTTTTACCAAGACAACTGAGGCTTATTGAAAGAAAAAATGATTTGCCTTGGGAGCACACATACACTTGGTGTTATATTGAGGACTAGGGTCAAATCCGTCTTCTTTTGCTTGTTCTACTCATTATACTGCAAGTGGTGAACATAGGATTAAGCTTCAAAAGATCTAGGTTACGGGCTTGGCCCTGCCACTAACTACTTGTGGGATCATGGGAAAGTCACTTAACCTCTTGGACTTTATTTTCCCATCTGTAAAATTAGGTGGGTTGGACCACTTCATTTCTAACTTCCCTCTAAGCTCTAATGTTCTATATTTAACAGGGACAGGTCCATGAAGGCTCAGTCCTAAAAGTATATACATTTGGTGAGCCTACTTCTGGAAATGTCTAATGACAGGGAATGGAAGGTCTTGGGTCTCTACTTCAGAGCATTCATAGGCATTTTGAAACTATTTTCTGCCTGCTTATCAGGTAGTAAAGATAAGGCCTTTTGGTTGCCTACAAAACCAGAACTGAGTGTGTAAACAAAAGGCAAAAACCAGCTAAATCAAACAATATGGCTGGAACATAGAGTACATAGACAGGAGGAGCATGAGATATGGCTGATAACAGGTTGTGGAAGGTCTTAAATGACAAGCAGAAAAGTTGAACTTTATTTAATTAGCAATAGAGAGCCACTGAAGATTTTTCAGCAGAGGATCAACATAATCAGAATTATTATTCTGGAAGCAAAACATGGATTTGAACCAACTTAGAGTAGCACAGTTTTATGATTTTTATTTGTGGTGCTCGGTCTAGTGGCAGGAGTGGGGAACCTGTGGCCTAGAGGTCACATGTGGCCTTCGAGGTCCTCAAGAATAGTCTGTGAAATTTGGATTCACTGAGGATCTAGAGGGCCCCATGTGGCCTTGAGGTGGTCTACCCCTGGAGAAAGTCAGCTTCCAAGTTAGGAAGATTTGAGTTCAAGACCAGTCTCTGACAGTCTGTGTGACCCCGGGCAAGGCACAACCTCTTTCCACACCAGTCAACTCTCTAATACTACAAGCTGCAAACAGGTGCTGATTTTCATTGGTAGAAGGAGATTCCATACAAGAAGGTCCCTACATTAAGAAAATCACAGGTCCCAACCCCTCCCCCCAACATTTACTTTATATATTATATTATATATCTTGTCCACTTCCTTTGAAGCTTTACTTTTCTAAATAGGGAAGTTGTTGGGAAGGTAATTATGTATCATATGCATACACTAATTACTAAATTTCTTGTTTTACAATGTTTCATGAATGAAAAGCCATTTACTAATAATATCTACAATTTATATAGTACTTTAAGGATTATAAAGCACTTTGTGAATATTCTCATTTTATCCTTACAATAATTCTGAGTAGGTGCTATTTTACAAACTAAGGTAAACAGAGGTTATGTGACATGCCCAGGGTCACACAACTGATAAAGGTCCAAAGCTGGATTTAAACTCAGGTCTATCTTTACTCCAGGTTTGGTGTTTTACTCATTAAGCCACAAGTGCTTGCTATGTGCTAAGCACTGTGCTAATCATTCAAGGTACAAATCTAAAATAGAAAATAGGCCCTCCACTCAAGGAGCTTATAGCAAATATAATAAGAGTGGTGATCAGGAAGGAGTATTTTGGTTTTGAAAGTTGTAGAGACAGTGAGGAAGACCCCAAGAAGATTTGAAATGACACACCCTTTGCAGGAGCAAGGACAAAGTCAATTTGACTATCATGAATGAGGTTAGCTTTTCACTTCATTTCAACATATTCTTTTATTGGTAATCAGTACCAATTAATAACTGGTAGTTCAGCATTTACCTTTTTATGATATTCACTATGCTGTGGGTGATAACACTTTATTTAAGCTCAGGCTCATTGATACTATGAAGTTTTGTACCAGCAAGTTACATGGCATAACCATTCTTAAGGATTTGCCATTTGACTCGAAACTGTCCCTTCTCTCTAAACTCTGCCATCTTGATCTAAAACAGGCTTTTGTTCAACATATTGCTCAGACTAAAAAGTAATCAGGTTTTCAAGCAGTCAGCATATTTTTACTATAAAATTAGAGGTAATTCAATTCAATTGAACAAGCATTTAAATGCCTACTAGGTGCTATGTACTAGGTGTAGAAAGGACAAATATAAGACCATCCTTGCCCTTGGGAGCTTACATTCTACTTGGAGCATAGCCAGATAAGTAAATACAAGATATCAAAAAATAAATGTAAAGTCCTTTTGAGAGGCAAGCGATACTAATGACCAGGAGAATCAGGAAGGAGCTCATGAAGTATGTAGCTCTTGAACTGAGCCTTGAAGGGGGCTGGGTGTTCTGACAAAGTGAGGAGGGAGAGAACATCCCAGGCATGGGAAATAACTTGTATGAGGCACGTGCCCTATGCAGAGAACTGTAGATGGAAACATACATTGGGTGGAGCAATTAGTGTCTGAGGGGGAGTAATATGTAATCCCCATTGGAACCAGACTATGAAAGGCTTTAAGGGTCAATTTTTTTCGCAGAGGCAATGAAAGAGCCACTGAAGCTTCTTAAGCAGGAGAGGGTCATGATAAGACCTGTGCTTTAGCAATTAAGTTTTGGAAGATGGATTGGAAAGAGGAAAGGCTGGAGGTAATAAGACCAATTAAGGAATTAGTGAAATAACTTAGGCAAAAGGTGATGAAGGCCTGAACTAGGCTTAAGTCAAGGCAGAGAAGGGGCATGTTGAAGAAGTAAAATCAATAACACTTAGCAGCTGATTGCATATGTGGGTAAGTTATAGTGAGGAGTCAAAGGGTATACAGTTTTTTCAGATTAATGAGCTATTATGTTCAAATAAAGCAATTTTATTACAAAATATCCATGTAGACTTACATGGGTACCTATAGCTATTCCTTTCTGCAAAAATCCATCATTAAAATGCCAATATACTCCCAGGAGTGCCAAATGGCTATGAATCATGGAACACAAGGACCTCAGAAGACTCAGAGTTGCAGATGACCCAGGAAACAATAGAGAGACATGGTGGATTTCAGTAGGTGAAACATATCTACCAATGATAGTTTGTACACAAGAAGTATTCCTTATACAAAAATATCATCAAGGACAGGCAATAATGGAAAAGGGAGTAGACTAATAATGCCATGAGAGTATCGGCTAACACATGGGCAGTGTCACACTGGTAGAAATGAAATATCAAAAGAATCATAGGAAAGCCTCCAGCATATTATGTAGATACTTCATGGAGAATTTAGGGAATGTTTTGGATAAATATTGCTCAAGTTGAGAATGGGCAATAATTACACAGGATGAGGATTGATGGTTTCCAGAGGAACAACTGGAGAGAGTGGCCATATTGTTGGAACCACTGAAGATAGAACAACAGATAAAAGCGTATTGTGTTCTTTGCGATGTTGGCCTTTGAAAACACCCAAACAATCTAACCCACTGACAAGAGGTTAGTCTATCAAGAACGATTTTCAGCAGCAGCAAATATCCCCTGGCAATCTGATTAGCCTCTGGTGGATTCCTTGGGTTCCTAAAAGAATCACTTTCTCATAGGAAGCCACAAATTGTTGGGGACCCTACTGAAAATCCCTAATTTTCTGTGAACATGAAAGGATGTATGCATGACATAAAATTGGATGGGTAGATTGGAGCCAAAAGGTAGAGGATCTTAACTGCCACTATCTAATGCTTATGATATATTGCACAGGGACTCATTAGATTTTATATAAAATAACTACATGATCAGATGGAGATATATGTAATACGTAACAACCAAAGTGCAGCGAATCCTAGGAAATTTGTGTCATCATCCTGCTGTACCTCACATGTTCCTCTCTTTTCACTTTCTCTATCATCCTTCCTTCCTATTCTCCTAATCATTTTGTTTTTCCTCTTCATGTTTTAACTATACTTCATATTGGAGGTTGAAATGAACTTAGAGATCATTTGATCTAACTTCTTTATCTTAAAAATATGAAAACTTATAGTTTCTGTCACCTACGAACTTAGCTGCAGAATTAGAACTAAAATCTAGGTATCCTGACTAGGTCTACTGCCTTTTCACTTCAAGCAAATTATTTTTGGTATGACTATGCATCCAAAGAAGGTACTTGGAGGATCATACTGAAGAGAGTACTTACTTGTTAACACAGTGATTGATCTGGCTGGTTTGATCATAACATTTGCATTCACTACCACCAAAGTGATTATGTAATAAAGACCATGATAGCTGGCATTGAAGACCACAGGGGCGGGCAGTGTGCTGTTAAATTCCTCAAATTGGAAGAAATAATTCTTAGATTCACCAGTTATCTTCACAACATATACAGATGATGAACTCACGACATCTGAAGCTTCCAGGGAGATAACAATGCTGTTATCATCTTGAACAGTAACATGGAAAGGTGTAGCATTCTGTTGAGATATAAAGAGACAAAAGAAACAGAAATAAAATTCACACTATCATCCAGATTCATATAAAGGATATGCATATAATAACTGAAAGTTGCAGAAATTAATTTTCACAACTGGATTATGATTTTAAAAAAACCTAATTGAAACTGAATTGAGCTAGGAAGAAATACATGAACACTGAAGTAGCTGAACTTAATATCAATGACTCAGGATCTTTTCATGGTTTTGCATTTCCTTTTTTCCCTCATGACTTCAAATGATTTCTCCCCTTACACACCACAGTGGTACTTGGTTTTATTGTATGAGAGAATTTCTACTGTCATGGAAGGGCTTTTTTTTTTTAAATTCACTTTGGTAAAGAGGGAATATTAAGTGGATGTTAAGGTAGTCCAAAGTGGGAAACAGAATCAGTACATTGATGCAAATGCCCAGGAAAATGTTTTCTCTCATCCCCATTCTTCATAAGGAGGAACATATTCTCATTGAGAAACTTCCTTATTTAAGAATCAGTTCTCTCCGTATAAGAGAAGTTGAAAGGCTGAAGGAGAGATAGGAATTGGGAGAAAAGGTCAAAGATGTTGACCCAACCCCTGGAGATAAAAGTTTAAGGTAGGTTAAATCACATGGATAATTGACTTTTAATGATATACTGATGGGTAGAATCATGACTGATTGCACCTAAATATTCCTTATGAAGTACTTCCTAGAATAGTCAGGAAACCTAGGTGGAAGAATGATTAAGCAGTCAGGGAATCTTGACTGGAGAATGACTAAGCTATTAAGCAGAAAATTACTTCAGATTAGTTTCTTTGCTGACAGGTACTTAATAACAATAATACCTTATATGTGTTAAGGACTTTTTAACTTACAAAGCACTTTCTAATATAGTATTTTATTTGCTCATCGAAATAGCCTTATGAGATAGGCAGGACAGATAACTGCAATTGCTATTTTACAAATGAGGAAACCAAGGCCCAGAGATTGTAAACTTGAGATCACACAGAAAACGGCAGGAGCAGGTCTAAAATGCACTTCTTCTACCTACCCATTTTCTGCATAATATCATCAGTACTCTCTACACCAGGACCTCTTTAAATGGAGGATAGAGAACCTCCTTTAAGGAGGTCCCCCAGGCCAACCATCTCTTAATTTCCCAGCTGAATGTACTACTTTGGACTTCATCTTACCCCAGAGTACATTCCCTTCTTTTCCCCTCCCCTTTTCAGCTTCCTTTTGTGTATTGTCTTCCCACTTTAGACTGTAAGCTCCTCAAGGATGGGGACTCTCTTTTTCATTTGATTTTTTTTCATATTTGTATCCTCAAAATATTAGGACAGAAGAACAAATAACAGTAAGAAGAAACAAAACAAAACAAAACAAAACAAAACAGTACACCTGGAAGAACCCTTCAGATTTTGACAAACCAAGCCAACAGAGCTAGAGGATAGAGCTTGGTCAATCAACCTGGTAATTATTGGTTGCCTAGAAAAATATAAAGAAACATAAAAAAAAACCCTCAGCACAGTACTCAGTACGTAGTAGTTTTTAAAGGCTTATTGATTGAATAATACTTTTATCAGTGACTTGGTTTGAAGGTGTCAATGACATGCTTATCAAGTTTGTATATGGCACAAAACTGGGATAAAGAGCTATCTTTCACTAAATGACAGTCAAGATTCAAAAAGGTCTTGACAGTTTAGAATATTGGGCTGAATCTAGTAAGATAAAGTTTAACAGAAATAAATGTCTGAATCATAATTTCTCCCTGCTAGGTAATACTCCTGGCAAAATTCTAAAATGTGTTACTGAAAAAGACAGGCAATACAACCTAGAGGACAGAAAGATAATATTGGAGTTAGGAAGACCTAGCATCAAGTACCACTTCTGGCATATATTGACCATGTGACCATGGGTAAGTAACTTCACTTCTCAGTGGCTGGAAAACTCTCTAAGAATATAAATTGCAGCACAGTGGATAGAGCACCAGCCCTGGAGTCAGGAGGACCTGAGTTCAGATTTGGCCTCAGACACATAACACTCACTAGCTATGTGACCCTAGGCAAGTCACTTAACCCTATTGTCTAGCCAAAAAAAAAGAAAAGAAAAGAATATAAATTGCAGAATGGTTCCCAATCTGTATTGGTAGAGGCAGTTTATTTCCTAGGAATTTCCTATACGGGATAAAATCACAGGGAAGGAAAAGGAACAACAAGGAAAAGGAAAGGGGAAGGGAATGAAAAGGAAGGGAAAAGGAAAGGGGAAAGAGAAGGAAAGAAAAGAAAGAAGGGGAGAAAGAAAAAAGGAAAAGAAAAGAAGGAAACGGAAGGGAAAAACTTAGAAAAGATGGCAGAAAATCTTAGTAAGGCAGTTTACTCCATTCTAAGGGTTGAAAGGGCCAAGAAGAACCCCAAAATAAAAATAATTGAATGGCAGAACAAATAATAGTAAAAACAAAAACAAAAAAAAAACCAAAAGTACAAGAACGCTTCATATCTTGACAAACCAAGTCAATAGAGCTACAGGATGCTTGACGAACCAGTCTGAGAATTATTTGTCTCCTAGAAAAATATGAAGAAACAAAAAGCCTGAATGTCATTTTATAGGAAATAATACAGTTTCAAAGTAAGAGAATGAAATAAAATTTATGCTTTACTTGAACGCAAAAAATCCTTAATTGCAGTGAATAGAGCACCAGCCTTGGAGTCAGGAGAACCTGAGTTCAATTCTGGCCTCAGACACTTGACACTAGCTGTGTGATCCTAGGCAAGTCACTTAACCCCAACTGCCTCACCAAAAAATTAATTAATTAATTAATTAAAATCCATTTCCCATTTTAGGGGCAGCTAGATGGAGCAATGGATAGAGCACTGGCTCTAGAGTCAGGAGGATCTGAGTTCAAATTTGGCCTCAGACACTTGATGCTTACTAGCTGTGTGATCCTGGGCAGGTCATTTAACCCCGATTGCCCCCACACACACACACACACATAAATCCTTAATTGCAATCATGATTTCAGAAAAGGGAATCACAAATACAGATAATCACCAAGATAGACTAACAAAAAAGCTTAATTATTTATTTATGATTAGGGTTACCTTAGAATATTAAATAATGTCACTATTAAATATACATTCCCTGAATAGCATAGCAATCCAGTGTTCGAAAGAAAAGCTAACTGGAATATGGAAAAGATTCGTGTGATCTATCATACTAATTGTAGGTGACTTTAGCATTCCTCCATCAGAGCTTGAGAAAGCTAACAGAAAGATAAGCAATGAGAACATTAAAGACTTGAACAGAATGTTAAGAAAATTGGATTTGAGGCCTATGGAAAACAATGAATGGCAATCTTAGTATATTTCTTAGACTTCCATAGGATTTTTACATGTATTGATCTTTTACTAGGACGTAAAAACTCATGAAAATATAGAAATCTTAAATACATAATTTTTCAGATGATAATATAACTAAAGTCTATTTAATTAAGAAAATATGAAAAAAGAATAAAGTCTTAAAAGGAGATTTTAAATGTGTTTGTGCATTTATATATGTATATATATATATACACATATACATATATTGATGTACACGGATATGAATATGTATATATTTGGGTCAAAGACAAAACCACAGAAACCTTATTAAATTATTAAAGACAATAATGCTAGTGATAGAGCATACCATACATTATGGTATGCAGCTAAAACATTAATATGAGGAAAATTACAATTCAAGATGTATATTAGCAAAAGAAAAAGCAAAGATTACTCAATTGTGAATTATAATATAGTAAAAATTATAAAATCTGCAAATTAATAATGCCAAAAAAAGCAAAGGAGACATAAAATGATCAGGAATTTAGAGTAGGAAGAAGGTAAACTAGTTTACTTGCATAATTTTAAAGATAAGGAACCTGAAGCTGAAGACTTTAAGTACCTTGCCCGAGGTCACACTGCTGAAAGCAACAGAGTTGGGATTAACAACCAGATGCTTTGATTCCAAATTCAGTATTCTTTCCACTTTACTATAAGAAATAAAGTATTAAAAATATTTTAGAAATGAACTAATAGATAAAACAAAGAGCTGGTTTCTGAAAGAGCTAATAAAATCTATACACATATATAATGGTTATTAGTTCATTTGATCTTTTTAAATAAACAGGTCAACAATTAATCTCCTGTTATATGCCAGGCTGCCAAACACTGAGCTCAGTGCTGGAGATAGAAAGAAAGGCAAAAACAAAAAACAAAAGAACCCCTAAAAAATCAAAAACAGTCCCTGCTCTCAAGGGGCTCACAGATTAAGGGGTGAGACAACATCCAAACAATCATGTTCAAGTAGGATACATACAGAATATATTGGAGATAATCTCAGAGGAAGACACTAAGAAGTAAAATTATAAAAGTAAACCATGAGAAGGAACAATGCATAACAAATGGAGAGGGACTTTTTTAAATAATCAGAAGTAAGCGCATCAAATTGAATGCCAGCAATATTAAAAACTTAAATAGCTGCAGCTATGTGAAAAAAAATGAAATTCTAAAATTAGCAAAATGGAAAATAGTTTAAATAAATCAATCTCAGAAAGGATTTGAGCAGTCCATAAATTAATTCACGAGACGGAAAACAGCTGTAGAAGTACACAGACTTACTACTGAATTCTATCAAACATTTATGAAGCAGAGAGTTCTCATTCCGCATAAATTGTTTTTAAAAATAGAAATATTTTATATATTTTATCTATTCTGAATAGGATTTCCCTTCCTATTTTCTCCCTGGATTTGGTTATTGCTAAGTAGAAATGCTGACAACTTTGGGAGATTTATTTTTTATCCTATTAATTTACTGTTTGTAAAATAGCAGAATACAAAAGAAATCCACAAAAATCACCAGCATTTCTATACAATGATAACAAAATCCAGAATGGAAATTCCATTCAGAATAATTACAAAATGCATAAAGTCTTTAGCAGTCATTCTAGTAAGACACACAAATATAAT